CGGTATTGTGTGGAGTCATTCATAGCTTCCAGTACATCAGCTGCGGCATTGACCACCCTGCTAAACAGAACGAAGTACGCACATATAAGCATCGTTTTTTTTATTTTTTAATCATATCCTGTGCGACACCGTTATTATGTCTGAAATAGTAATAACAAGTAAGTGAAAGCAAAAATTTTGAAGACTTGGTTTTGGATTTTGGCAAGGAATGTGAGGAATGCCACAATATTGTAGTTGCTTAAAATCGGCATTTGCTTACTACAAGGCCACTATTATCCCGAGTCATTGCTCTTAATGTGAGCAAACATTACTTCAATTGTAGAGTTGTTTCTACGATAGGAATGACTAAGTTTGCTTAGCACGCGATCGCGAAAAATAAACTCACTTGTCATAAGGTGTGCTCTGTCTTTGGCCCCGCACTTTGACCATCTTAAGCTAAAACTAAATATTCCAAACCTCTCAATCAAGCTGTCGCCATGTGTGAAGCTCTCAACTAAAAGGTAAGAAGTTTGAAAACTAAGCTGAATCAATGGGCGGCTCTAATGAGACACGGTGGGATAGTCGTATTTTTTTTGAAATGCGCAGCCAGGCGGTGCTTCGGTCACCAAAATTCTACTTTGAGGAGCTCATATACAGCAAGGAGCAGTTCTTCACTTCCGTGCCAACCATTAGACTGTGGGCTTTGAAGCGCCCTTTGTCTTCATGCAAGCTTGGACCCATTTTTGGCTGTTGACCACTGAGTGCATTACGGACGGTGTAATTTGTCTATTAAGACTGTTTGCCCAATCTTCGAATCAAAATGCCCTGTAGCAAAAAAGATTGCAACTACATTAGCCAGGTTTGCGCTTTGAGGGAATTTCCGAAAGGTTTAACACTTTCCTTATGTTTGCCTTTGCCTGTTCAATCTTTAATCAGGTTAATTCGAAGCTCTACATTGACGCAGTTCCGTAAATTAACCATGAGATTACCGAACCTCGAGGAATCTGCACCTCCTTTCTGGTATTTGACCCTCTTTAAGCCTTTCATGTGGAGCATTTAAAGTTGGCACTGGCTGGCATAGGAGACTAAGGTATTTAGATTTCCTCTATAAACACCATTGACTTCAATAGATGCAATAAGACTGTGAAGGTCCCTCACTGCTATAAGGTTTGTAGTATGGCAAAGCAATCCGTGATGTACTTACATCCATATCCCATCTTTCAGTGCATTTCTACATTGCATATACAATTGCATGTTGTAAACAATCATAACCAGTTCACCAACTAATAAAAGGGTCCTCTTTACTGTAACACTACGAGCGGAGGTGTCAGTAGGCAAAGCATTTCGGCTGTAGAACATGAACTTATTGATAAAGTTTGACGTAGGAGGCGGTTCTATAAGTCCTGCTACTCTCATTAGATCTCCATCAATTTTGTTGGGCGTCTGAAGCTCAAGAATGCCGCATATCAGTGCGTAAATGTCGACTTGCTGAATCAGCTGCACACCATTTAACTGCTTCACCTTTGGTCCAGCTGCTATCATTAAGGCGTGCATTTGAGTGTTCAGGTTGTCATAGCCATGTTCACCCCTCCCATCTGAAAGTAAAAAAACACTCAGTGTTTCGGAGTCACATCCGTGGCAGTTGTCATTAAAATTAGATTATTATGACGTTTGAGAAAGTTTTAAAGTAGGTGTGGTCCGTAGGTACTTTACTTAGGCATTTGTAGAAATAGGGTTGGTGCAGAAAATTTGCAGCTACCTACAGTGCTGTAAGGGTGTATGACGAATGACGTAGTTCTGATCGGCGATCAGAATCAGGGGAGGGCAACGAGGCGTGTTGATGTAATGAAATCGATCTGGAAGATCCCTTTTGAGGTAAACGGAAAGGCCGGTGATGTTTGCCTTGATAATCTTGCTCTTCATCTCCATTACGCTAGGGCCACCTGAGGTCATGAGTAGTGAATTAAAATATGTTGAAATAATGATATATTAGTCAAAATAAAAGCCGTCTTTTGTTTTTAAATCGCTATGAAGAAAGGCGCTTTGTAAAGTAGTGCAGCTTGGCAGCAGAGAAGCTGTGCTCTTATGTCGAAAGAGTTTTGCAGTTAATGTTTGCTAAGATGAGGACGTAAATCAAAAATAAAGAACATTTATGTGCCAAAAGGTGAGCATACCATGCCTTGGCCAAATGCCAAAGAAAACTCTCGAAGGGTTGGCAATGTAACTTTTGGGATCCAGTATATTGTAAAGCGGCACTACATTGTGATCTTGAACTTCAGCCATTCCATGGTCCGATGTTAAAATCAGGTTGACTGAGTCGCGCAACCGGGGAATCAAACCTATTTTTTGAACCAAATTCCCCACCACATAGTTTAATTCCTCCACTTTATCTAGTACTTCTTGTGAATTGGGTCCAAAACGGTGCCCACTGACATCCGGCTCCTCCATGTAGAGCATGCACAGAGTTATAGTATCATCGTTCTGCATCCACTGTAGGACTTTATCTACGCGCGTTGAGAAATCAATAGAGGAGTTGTAGACGACTTGTCTCCTCGAAGGGAACTTGTTCGCATATGTGGAGGCACTTCCAGGCCAGAAATACACACAGCTTTTTCGTTTAGCGTGACGTTCGTTGGTCATCCAAATGGGCTCATTGTCATTGTAATCCCACCATCGAGGATCAAGAGCATCTAGAGCATTTCTATAGGAGAATGAGACATTGTACTCAGGAGAGTAGAAGATGTTAGCCATTATACCATGATTCTCAGCGTAGCGTCCAGTTGCTGTGGCAAAGTGGGTCGGAAATGTGATTGTGGGCATAATAGGAACTACTCGACCACGAAATCCTCGCCGATAGAGGCTCTCAAATGCCGAGACATTTCTGCCCTCTGATTTGGCCATATCCAGGTAGTCATGCCGAAAGCCATCAAAAGAAATGAGAATTACCTTGCTTCTGTTACAGCAAAATGATTCAGAGAATAGGCAGAGCACTACGAAGACCCACAAAGCGAACCCACCCTAGATACCAGAGCCATGACTGAGGCAAAACACTTGCAAACAACCTCGGAGTTGTGTCACTTTGTGCTGCGATTGGGCGTCACCTTGCCCAATCACATTCCAAGTGTTTATTCCTGCCAAAGCCATTGGAACGATGACGATAATGATTAGCTCTGCTTGCTCTACCATTTTAATTTACTTTAGTTAGGTGACGACTTAGTGTGCCTTTAATACCACTGAAGAGGGATTTGTCGTATGGATAGGCTTTGAAGGACACATTGGAATTGGACAAATTTGCGCCTTACTACTTTTTCAGTAAGAGATCTTATCTTTCGCATGAGGAGGTGGGTGTTAGGTACAATTTTAAAATGGTAAATCTGCCAAAAATTACCAGGTTAAATCTCAAACCTGAAAAAATTGCCGTATATGTTGCCGTATATGATTGTGTGTAAGAAGTAGCCTACACTTGCATGAATAGATAGTTTACTCAATTTTAGAAGATAGGTCCTGAGTTGGAGATTAAATGGACACTCTTTGACATTTTGACTTCGTACAGGTTGGAAAGTGAGCCTCAATAATTTTAAATTGCAGCACAAAGCAGTTTAGGCTTGTGCTGAGGATCGCTGCGCGGAAGTTGGCATCTCTAATGTTGACTTAGGGCGACACAGACCACCGTCAATGCCAAAACTGCACGCTTTCTATTAGGCATTCGTGCAAAATAGAAAATAACCCTGAGATGATTCACCTCTTTCAAGTATGAAGCTTTTGTCTTGCACTCCTGCTACCCATCTTGATATTTTCCTTATTGATGCACAATTTGTACTGCAATTAAATAATTTTACTTAAAAATTCAAATTTTTTTCATGTGCC